ACACGGCCGTAGATCTTGGCCAAATCATCGCCTCGCACCTAGCGCCAGTATCCTGCTATACATAGAACCTATCCACTGTAGTTTATCGTAACCCGCCCTTACCTGCGCTTCGTATGGTTTGGTATCCTTCTTAAGCTGACAAAGGGCGATGTCTACTAGATTAGCAGGAAAGCCCTTCGAAGGCGGCCATCTTCCATGCCAAGGAAAGCGGATATTTGTCAGAAGATAGTCAAGAAAATCCGTGGCGATTTCTCGGTGGAAAGCGGATGAGGAGTTTTGCGGGACAGACTGATATGTTCAGGGTGTAATCTGTGGTGCAGAATCTAGAAAGATAGCTTTTCTTGCACGGAGAACGTGGTAAAAAGCGGTGACGACCTATCAAAAGGGAACAGAAGTTGTCGGAGCCAATTGGCAGCGCAAGGTGGTGGGCACTTGTCGCACATGTGCGTCGCCGAACACGTACATGAAACCCACTGGACGGAATCTCAGTAGACATGAGTATTTCTCTTGTAGGATCGTGACAATGGGATGGGTGGGCTCTGGTGTGGCCAGTGAGTATGACGCAGATGATGTGGCGCACGGCCACACATGGGAACAAGGGCTTACTAGCGTTCGTTGATCTGGGGCGGCCCGGAATAGTAGAGTCGCTGGTCGAGCTGCCTCAAGGCCTGGGATCGTCAACAACCCCTGCGCCGATCATATTGCTTTGGGTTGACCTCTTGTACGAAGTCGAACCGTTGCATCCGCCTGGCTTTGGAATAGAATTTGTGGATCTTGCATCGGCAGTTCACAGAGCTGCCACCAGGACGACCAAGTCCAGGAGCAGCCCCCCATGTCAAGCAGCACAGGAATCGCACGCGTATGTCTCTTCCCAAACGCAATGCGTGTTCTTGGTAGGAATGGTTCCGACCGGTGGTTCAAGGTTCCGCCAATTGCGCTACGTTTCGAGTGTCGGTACAAAGTTTCGCTTGTCCTATGAAACAATTGCACGTTTGGAAAGGGTGCACGGAGTTGATCTTGTCACCAAAAAGCACCCATTCTGGCGCTGCGTGGTCTGAAGTGACTTTGCAATCTTCGTCCAACATGGGCCAAGTGTGCTATGTTTGGTTACAAAAAGCCGTGTTAAGCACTTGATGGGCCAACCACCGTTTGTGGGTGGGTGCAACGCCGAAACGAGCGCCCATGGAAGCACGTCTCTTGTTGCTTGGCCTTATGCTCTTATACATGGGAACTGTATTATCCGGTCATGGTCTGGTAATTGGACGCCTTCTGTTTCTCCACCTCTCAAACTATCACCTTTTTGACTGCTTCTATGGAATGTCATGGCTGCCGTTGGTGGACACAATGATATGTTACTGGTGCTGGCACACCATCATCATCTAGACATGGCAACGAATACGGCTGCCCGGATCAAACGACATCAAAGGACTACCACCAACAAGATGGAGAGCAAACGACGGCGGAACGCTAATCTGGGTAATGGTAATACAGATTCGGTTCTACGGAGGAACATACAATCTACACCATCGCCTCGCCTCACCGGCCCCTCATCGTTGATGGAAGTGGTACAAAAACGATCATTACATCCGCGACTGTCCTCGGCCGGCCAAGTAGATGCCACCTCGACCATTGATAGTGGCACCCTGCAGGGAGCTGGATTGGTAGATGCAGCAGCTCTCCCAGGTGTCAACCAAGCCGATCCTGGTACTTTGAGTAGACCTATGCCAGGAGTCAATCAAGCCGACCCTGGTCGTATGGATGGGCTGATGCCAGGCAAGAATCAACCACCACCATCGATAGGTGATGCGGCGGCAGCTCAACTTCTCGAGGACATGCCGATTTCGGTATTGTGTACGACGCTTACAACATACACCACCTTGACAAAGACACGGACGGATCCAGCATTGACTACATCAGAATCCGGTATGGGTCCTGGGTTTTCTTGGCCCACTCCTGCCATTACAAGCATTTCGTCTGCGGCATCTTCAGCTACCGGCTTCCCCCTACTACCGTCGTTTAGCACGTTTATCCTCTTTTCACAGTCAGAAGATATTCGGGAGCAAGTGACGGCATCTACAAAAAGTATCAACACACCACTAGCCGTAACCGCGTCTTCGGCATTGACTGCGGTCTCGGTACCGACGTTCCAGCCTACATCTTCGGTTGTCGCCAGCTCTGCAACAGGTGGATCGGGTAGAGGACTAACGCCGTTGTCAAGATCCTTGTTTGTTCTTTTTGGTGTATTGGGTAAGCGGCTTTTAGCGCAAAGTTTGTTGTCACTGGATGGATGGCGGCTGACGTACAACGACAGGGGCCATTACGATGCTCATTGCATTGGCAATATTCTTCATGGCGAGGAGGAACAAGAGGCGGCAACAACTCGCAGAGCGATACATTGAAGAAAACGCCTCGTTTGAGGAGAAAAAGGGCGGTGCGCTCGGGTACGGAAACACGACGCACATCTCGGCAGAACGAACAGACAACGGTCCGACGGTGCTGACGGACAGTGAAAGAAACATTGTACGTCGCGCGGCTACCCAGGATGGACAACCAGAGGTAAGTCTGTTGCGTATTATGTGTTTGGATATCCTGTCGAAAAAGTAGACTAACAACATGTTCTTTTTCCCTTTAGGTCCATATCACAGCGCCTGGAGCGCGCCTACACGATGCGATTAATTTGTTTATTGCTAAATCTCGACGATTGACGTACAAAATATCTCCTTAGAAGATGGGCGACTCGAGAAGAAGGTCATGATAATAGTAAGCATTCATTATGAATAGGATGATGAACAATGTATAATCGGAAATACACTGTAAATAGCGTTAATGTAGCCTGTAAATACTAAACAGATATATACATACATGCATGCATGCATGGGGTGTCGTGGCATACGTGGATACAAATAGTAGCATGAACATGTGTGGTGCAGCCTTCGAAACTACCACTTCGAGTAACTCATGTCAGGGCGAGGGAAGGAAATTCCGTTGAAAGCAGCACTAGTTGCCACTAAGCCAAGTTGTACTTTGGGTAAGACCGACTTGGAATAGGTTCGACGACTAACGCGGCAATGTTTGTGCTAACAGAGGCTGAATGGTGGGTGCAGGGGCTAGGAGGGTGTCGGGATGTTTCTGGTTGCCGGGTGGTGTGGGGCGAGGACTGGGGGCGTCGCGGCTAAGTATGGGGAGTAAGCGGCTTGGCACGTGGTGTAGTGTGGTGCGATGGGGGCGTGGGGGGGTTGGGTTGGGTTTGTGGACAGGATGTAATGGACAGGGACTTGTGCGATTGAGGCCAAAGGCGCAATGTGCCCTGGCTACATGGTGCTTGAGCCATGGTTCCCCCTTCTTCCGAGCAAACATATGTATGTAGTCGGCCCCAACAATTTGTCGAATGCTGCATGACCAGATTTTATTGGAGTGGAACATGGTGTAGTGGACGCTTCCCTGCTTACTCCAAGAGTACGTAATTTCGGGAGCAAGCTCGTCTTCATCAACTTACCATGCTAGTGCTATATACGTGCAAATATACAATTTCCTCACCCGCCTCAGCGTCGCCTGGCAGTAAAAAGTCGAGTTTAGCAGTCTCAATGAAACCGGCTTGGGCCATGAGATGGAAGAAGACTTGCTCACTCGAATGGCGCATCTTCATTGCGACAGCTACAATAATGGCTGGGTTGGACATGGCTAGGCGGGAGAGGGTACTGACTAGCGCCGGGCTGTGGTGTCAAGACGGTCAGGTGGTTGATTTGGAGGGGTGAATAAGAGGTCCTACCTGCTGTCTGGATTGTATGTACAATCAGCCGCGATGACGAGACTGACGGAGGTCAAAGTTGACTGCAATTCATCAGGCAGTTGGGCATCCCAGTCGAGCTCGAGGAAGCTGAGCTTTGCGCCGGGTGCTCTGGATGCTTGATCAATGTTGCGCTGGACAATCTCCCTGGCTTCGGGGAGGTCAGTCAAGATGACGTTGGCGTTGGTGATTGTCTGGGCAAGGGCGATGCCGACAATGCCGCAGCCGGTTCCCAGTTCGAGGACAATCAAGGGAGAGGCTTTTGTGGAGGGCAACAGAGCCCTTGCTAATGTCGACTTTGTGTCTGCCAAGTCTGGTATATGGCAGGCCAGGGTTATGCCCGCGTCCCTACAAAGGCAACCTCAGTGGGCAATGGGTGAGAAGAGGTGCTGGAGAAGGCAGATTTACCACAGATGCCTTGCAATGCTTTCTCCGGTCTCCTCCCAGATGGCTACGTCGGAGTGTGGTGACAGGCTAAAGCGGCGCTGGACCAACCTAGGGGCGTTGTCATCCAAGGTAAAGGGCGCACTCCAGGCGGATACAACACCTCGCGCATCCTGGCCCGCGAGAGCAGGATACTCGTCGGGCGAGTTTCCGGGGCCTATGCCTACTTTGAGGCGCAACAGCGAAGACGGCAGTGCGTGGGACTTGGGCAATGGGATGGTTATGGGTAGAGAGCGCATGCCACTTGCCCAGCGCACAGAGGTCCAGACGAGGACATGCTCTGCGTCGTGGGTGCACAGCAGGAGCTCGGCGGCGAGATGGACATGGTGGGGAAGAAACGAGTCGCCCAGGTCCGAGGCGAGGGTGACGAGACAGGCGACGCTGGCCGTGTTGGTGGTCTTGTCACGGAGGATGCGGGGGGGTTTGAGGAAGCGGAGGTAGCGCATGGCGGGTGTTTGTGCATGGGCACTGAGGAAAAGGTCGGGTTGGGTGTGTGTGTGGGGTTGGGGGCGACGCAGAGGGACTAGCACACACTGCAGTCTGGAGTCGATAGACGGCGGCGTCTCGCCCCGGCGCATTCGTGTCGGCGACACCCAACGTCGCGTCCAGTGCAGTGCATATCCAGACGCAGCGCAGCCTGCCAGGAGTGAAGAGGAGGAGGAGTCAGCATCGCCATCGCCATCACCATCACCATCGGCCATCGGCCATCGACGTTGCCATGTACCGCCGCAGTGACCCGCGCTGGAACCGGACGTTGCAGCAGATTACAGAGAACCTGGAGCACGCAAACGACACGGCGCAGGAGAACATCTACGGCTTCACGCAGCGCTACATCGACCCATGCTTTGCATCCGTCACCCGCTGCGTCAGCGCATGCACCGCGCCCTGCCTGCCCTCTGGCCATGACCGGCGCCGTCACCGCGGGCGGTCGCGCGGGCGGGCCGAGTCGAGCTTCGACTTCTACGACGACTGGGACCACGACGACGAGACGGACGGCCTGCTGGGCTGGGGCAGTGACAGCCTCGATCGCTTCCTGAGCACGTCGGCTGGCTATGGAGCAACCACACAGCCCGCCCGCCAGCCCGCCATGAGCTACGGCCAGCGCAGCCGCGATGCGCGGTACAACACGCCGCGCCGCAACAGCAAGACCAAGCCCAGGACGGGGCCCCTCGCCCGCGACACCACCCACGACCCCACCCTCATCCCCAGCTCCTCGTACTTTGGCTTCCTCGGCCGCCTCCCCTTCAACATTGGCGCTCGCGGCCTGCGCTACAAGCCCTCGGCTGCCGACCTCATCGATCACCCGGGCGCTGCACGCAGGAGCCTCGACGAGGACCAGCCCTTGATCGACGACAGCGACCATGACGACGACGACGATGCTGCCGGCCTGAGAAACTCGGAGCACAAGGGCCACCGCAGGCAGCGAAGCGACACGCATGCCTCGGGCCACACGACCGACTCGCTCAGTTCCAGAGGCGACATCTTCCCCAGCGAAGACGAGCTCGAAGACGCCGTGCCCCTCGACGACGAGTTCACCATTGCCCTCGAGCGGCGCACCACCGGCCAATGGACTCAGGACAGTGCCAGCAGCAACAAGACGCTCTCTGCAACCAGCAACCGCCCTTCTGCCTCGCGCCTCTCGACACGCACAACCCACCGCTCCTCGCCCGCCGACACCAGCGACTGCATCCCCACTCTCGCCGACCTTGACGAGCAAGAAGAGCGTCTGCGCCAGCAGCAAGAGGATGACATCGACCGCAAGCGCCACAATGCCCACCACCTCGCAGTCAAGCGTGGCCTAGCCTCAGACCCTGCCTCGCCCTTGCTCCCCACCCCAACCGCCACAACCAGCCGTGATCAGCTTCCGTTTGCCAGTACTGTAGACGCTCAACCAATACCCGAAACTGGTCTGGGTCCTCTTGATGAAAATAGAGGGCAACACCATGATGGACAAGACCAATTCGTGCCTGCCAGACTACCGCACTTTGGGTCGGGGTAGACTGCATATGCTCTTTCTCTATTCCCTTTCCTGTAATATTGCATTCTCTCCTGCCTTCTTCCTGGCACTAGATAACGAAACGACACATACGCAGACATGATAGTCACGGGCGCAAATATCATCACCATCATTACCATGATCATGACCATTGCCTGTACACGCTGCTCTCGGTTCAAATTGCATTGGTGTCAACCTGCTCCCACTACAGCCCCATGTTACCAAATGTGATTGGCTTCTTGGTCAAGCCCTGGTAGATCTCATCTAGCACGCTCCTCTTCCTCTTCTTGTCTACCTCGCGCTCCTCTTGTTCCGCCGCTTCTTCGTCGTCCGCCTCGGCATCTTGCTCGGTTCGCGGCTTCCACGCACTAATGCTACCGTCCCCATGCCCAGAGTACATTTCAACCTCGTGCGCCCGCCAAGCCAAACTCGTGATTCTATCCTTGGCCGGCTGTTGCCGATTGCCGGCTGTTAACTCTCCATGTGAGCGCTGTTGCGAGCGGCGTAGGCGGCGTATCAGCTTGCCCTCCCACAGCTCGTACACCAGCACTTCACAGCCGTTGGGATAGAAGATGACTTCACCACCTGGCTGTACGCTCTCAACTGGGGCAAATACAGGCAGCCGTGGCGACAGACCTGTGTTTTTAACCATGGGGCCAAAGTTTGCCAGTGTGTTGGCCCCAGTGTCCGTGTCCCAGACGCGGATGCGCGCGTCATGGCCACATGTCACAAGATGCCTCCCATCTTCTGTCCATATCAGCCCATTGACAGGTCCCCGGTGTGCTTGCTTCATTGTTGCGTTGCGAGACAGGGACATGGACTGGCTGCCACGTCGGCCAACCGAGTCTTCGAGATCCAACATGGCCAGTTCGCCCACACTGCGACGCACATCCCAGAACCGGACAGTGCCGTCGGTGGCCCCACTGGCGACAATGTGTTCGCGAACTGGACTCCATGCCGTAGATAACACTGCCCCAGAGTGACCCGCCAGACTATGCGTCGTCGCCCCAGACCGCAAATCTACAAGACGCACGTTGGGATTCTGTGTGGCGCAGGCAACAAGTAGATGCGAGGCCACGGGTGACAGCGAGATGTTGTATACGACAGAGTCCAAGTCAAAGGATGCAGATGTGGCGAGCGTTTCGCTCGAGTAAAGCTTGACAGTGTGGTCGTAAGACGACGTGAGGAACGCCAGCGAGTCGAACGGGTAGAAGTGTATCTGTGTAATGCCGAGTTTGTGTTCTTCACTCGTCTTGCTTGCGGCAGTCAGAGGTGTGTACGTCTCGCCTACCTCGGTTGTGCCCGGCTGCGCCTCAAGATCCCACAGTGCGATCGAACTGTCGGCGCCTGCAGACAGCAGATACCTCCCCTCGAACTTATCAACTGTCAGCGCACTTACGCCAGATGCGTGGGCTGGTATGCGCTCGTGTGGAGCATCGGGAGTAGGCAGATGCTGGTTGAAGTTTACGCTGGGCGACGGCTGCAGCGCGTAGACGAGGCGGGAGGTGCAGGCGCGCTTGAGGACATGGTTGGGAATGAAGCCGTACGCGCGGTCGAGTACGTGTTGGTTGTGCATATGCGACTCATGCTTTTGTGTGCGCGGCGATGTGTGTGAGTGATGAATCAATGGGTGCAAACTACAGCCAGGTGGGTGAGAGTAGTGGAGACGCTGAGGGACGGGTCGAGGCTCATAATGCGTATGTACCTATGACGTTGCTGCCTGCTCTTGCGCAGACTGCGGCGGCCGAGCTGCTTGCAGGGATCCCGTGTTGGCCTCGCGAACAAATAGCAGTGTACTAGTGTAATCTGCCCTCTGAAGCCGACCACCTCTTAGGACAAAACATAACAGTAGACTGTACAACAAAAGCATTTACAATGGCCTCACGACAAAGTTCAGCGGCTGCCAGTGAGAAAAAGCCACGCAAGCGAAGAGCCAATGTTTACGATGCTGTTGCAGGCAAGAGCCGCATGGCCCTGCCGTGCAAAACCGATTCTGACTGGAAATACAGGCAACGTCACGCAAGCTGGTTTAATTGGGCATGTCACTGGTCCAAAGGCGGCCAAGAAATGTCTACGGCCGGACGAAGTCCTCTTCAAGCGTAAGAATGCACCGATCCGGTACGAAGAGGACGACTATTATCCAGCCCATAACCGTCTCTCGGACCAGCAACTGCCTAGGGGAGAACTTTTGACTTCAATCCATGCTTACATAACCCATATGTATGCTCAAGTCGATGCCCGTGGCCGGAGTATACGATGGCGACACCTGGACGAAACTGTCCTGCTTGCCCTTGGCATCCTTGTAGAGGAAACGGCGCGCAGTGTCATCGGCAAGACCGGCGATCTAGCTTTCACCGAGGCTAGCCAAGGCGACGGCTGTGGGAAGAGCAAGAGCAAGAGCAAGAGCAGGTCGACTTCGTCTACCGTCAAAGAGCATGCGCCTGTTGATGCAACCAAACAGTCTGCAAAAGAGACGAACCGTTCCGTGCGCGTCTCCTGGGCTTCGCCAGTGGACTCGACAAGCATTGCACAAGAAACGGACTAGATAGATGGACGGTTGCCTGTCCATGCATCATGGTCGTGCCTGCCTTTTTCCCTTGTCCGAGCCAGCCAAGCGTGCCTTCCTCGTCTGGATGAGCGTGTCTTTTCTTTACACCACATCTTCAATCACATCAAGTGTCCCATGCCCCAACCCCACCCCCAACACCATCTCTGAGAAAAACAGTCAACATGGTAGGTCCGACTACAACTACAGCATCTGCCGCCCTAACATAGTCAAGGCACCTAAGACTCAGCCCAACCCACAGAAAGCAGCTTCTATCTTGGCATGGTTTCACAAGACAGCACAGGCACACAGTATCAAGGACCTTGAGAAGACGCTGCCTCAAGTGTCTTCCGTTAACGGCATGCAAGTCAAAGACTATCTGCAAGCACTTTCGGATGACAACAAAATCCGCGTCGAGAAGATTGGCAGCGGCAACTGGTACTGGAGTTTCCCAGCTGATGAGAAAAAGGCAAAGAACGCCACTCTCAAAAAGGCCCAAGAAGAGTACGACAAGGTCAGGGCGACTGTGTCTGATCTGCAGGCAAAAGTAGAAGGCGCAGAAGCAGCTCGCGCAGAGGACGAGGACATGCTCATGGAGCCTGGTCAGTGCAAACGCGTCTGCCGTGCACCCTTTACTGAGAGACTCCAGGCGGCGATCGCCGAACTCTCATCACAAAGCACACCGGCATCATGAAGGAATTGGAACAACTTCGCAAAGACTTAGCCGCGTACAGCGAGCAGGACCCGGTCGAGTTGGAGAAGAAAGAGAGTGAAGCACACAAGGCTCGCCTCGATACCGAAAGATACACTGATCACATCTTGGCCATGCAGGGATGGTTCAAGACCAATGCAGGCGGTGGTGGAGGAGAGGAATTTCTTAGTGTGCTGAAGATGCTATATGGTGATGAGTACGACAGTGAGGAGCAAGGCTTGCGTGAACTTTGATGGCCTAGGGAAGGTTGTGGAATTCATGGTAATGTCAGATGGATACTATACACCAGAAAATTACCAGTCGCTGCAAGTACCAGGATCAGGGTATACTGCGTAAGTATCGGTTTGGGGTGCATTGTGTAGGCCAGTTCCACATGCGGAATCACCATCATGTCGACTCATTCACTGCGCCACAGTCGAGAGATTACTTGAGTCATGTCAGTGGCGCATGGGCCACTGTTTAGCTATCATTCGCTTGCAAGAGCGTCATCGTAATACCTTTAGTCCAAGAACACGAAACGCCCTGCTATGAATAAGAGGCCTCGCCGGCCTGCCCTGTACCCGTCGAGTTGTCGCTGCTCTTCAACACTCTGCTACTGCCTTATACGTTGGGACTCTTCCAAAGACGCACCTCGCACGGCTCCTACGATACCCCGCCATGGCTTCAACGGGTGCCCAAGAAACCTCCCAAGTTCCTGCAAGCGCACAACGGCGTGGTGGCAGAGGGCGCGGACGCGCAAGAGGTGCACATGGTGGCTCCGAAGAAAGACAGGAGAATTTTGAGGCAAGAGGGCGCGGACGGGGTGGCAACCAAGGGCGAGGTCGAGGTCGAGGCAACAGGGACGGCCCTGGTGGTCGCGGCGCATCTGCACAGGACAAGGGCAAAGCACCAGCAGTAGAAACACCAGAAAACGGTCCTGCGCTCAGCAAGCCTGTACCGGCCCCAGCCCCCGCCCCCGCACAGTCAGACGACGAAGATGCAGATGGCGAGGTGTGCTTCATCTGCGCATCGCCCGTCCAGCACCTGGCCATTGCTCCCTGCAACCACCGGACATGTCACATTTGCTCAATCCGCATGCGAGCGCTATACAAGACAAAAGCTTGCGCCCATTGCAGGACCGAATCCGACCACGTCATCCTCAGCGATGACGCTGAAAAGACATATGAAGATTTTTCGAAGGCCGACTTTTTCAAGTCGGATGATACCCTAGGCATACACTTTGAGAATGCGGCAGTCTTTGAGGACACGCGGTTGTTGCTGCAGTACAACTGCCCGGATAGCGAGTGCGACGTGGCCTGCCTCGGATGGCCTGACCTACACCGTCATGTCAAGACGGCACACGCCAAGATGATGTGGTATGTACTAGATGCGTACTCGTCGCTTTGCACGACTATGCTTGGGCTAACATGACGTAGTGATCTGTGTACACGGAACAAAAAGGTGTTCACGCATGAGCACGAGCTCTTCACCCCGCAAGACTTGAAAAAGCACCAAAAGTTTGGCGATGACAATCCCGGCGCAATTGACCAGAGTGGTTTCAAAGGCCATCCCGAGTGCGGCTTCTGCAGACAGCGCTTCTATGGAGACGATGAGCTGTACACACATTGCAGAGACAAGCACGAGCGCTGTCACATTTGCGATCGACGCGAAGGAGGCAGCAGAAAACAGCAATACTATGTCAATTACGATTCTCTCGAGATACATTTTCGAAAAGACCACTTTTTATGTCCAGACCGCGAGTGCTTGGACAAGAAGTTTGTCGTGTTTGACTCGGAGATGGATCTCAAGGCACACCAGCTCGAGGTGCATCCTAACGGTCTATCGAAGGATGCATTGCGAGACGCGCGGAGGGTGGACATGTCTGGGTTCCAATTCCGAGCCCCGCACGAGCAAAGTGCAGGCAGCGGCAGGCGAGATGAGCGAAGGCGCGAAGGGGGCAGAGGACGTGGCAGAGGACGAGATCCGAATGCAGAGCCAGTTCCTGCCTCTTCTGCGCAGCCCCTGAGCAGAGCCGAACTCGCCTATCAGCGACAGATGGAAGCACAGAATGCCCATTCAATTACCGGAAGAGCTTTTGGTGGTCAACTTTCGACTCCCACTCCTGGTGAGGCGTTTGCAGCCAGACCACCCCCAAGCGCTTCTGGGCCTGCCGTAGTGACAGCTTCACGTCCAACTCCGGGAGCTACCAGCAACATTACAAACGGTATGAGCCAACTCAGTGTCGATGCGCAATCGGTCAGTTCGATTCCGCAAACCCCACAAGAGCAAGCCCGGCTGCTGCGTCACAACGCGGTCACTGAACGAGCTGCGAACATGGCCGGACACAACGAAATTAAGCTGCAAGAGTTCCGAGCGGCGGTATCAGCTTACCGAAATTCGAAAACATCGGCAGCACAGCTGATTGAGGGCTTCTTTGCGCTGTTCGATGCCGATTCGAAAGAGATGGGAAAGCTGATCAAAGAGCTAGCCGACATCTTTGAGATTGCAACGAAGCGGGAGGGACTCCTCAAGGCATGGAACGATTGGAAGGCCATTAATGAGGACTATCCTTCGTTGCCTGGCTCTGCTACCGAGCATGCCTTGAGCGGCGGGTCGGCGGCTCGAGGAGGGTCGCGTGTGCTGAAATTGAAGAGCTCAACGGCGCAGTCATCGCGCTCAACAGCCAACCAGCAAGCTAGCTGGTCATCTGCATCCTCAAGCAATCCATTTCCTGCGTTGCCCACCCCTGCAAGTCGCATTGGTGCCAAGCCTGGACAAACGCCGTGGGCATCGTCTTCGTCTGCTGCAGGTAGTGCCCGCCCCTCGCCTTCAGCTACGCCCTCTCGCGGCGCAGCACCATCATCATCAAGCACGAGCAAGAAGGCCAGCCTGGCAGATGCATTCCCAGCGCTTCCAGCAGCAGCCAAACCTACGAGTACGATTTTCAGCCCAGGATACACGGGCAACGGGCTACGGCGAGACAATAGTGGGCGCAACACTCCAGTGGTGAATGCTTGGGGATCAGGGTCAGGTGCGAACAGTGGAACGACGACACCAGCAGTTGAGGATGGCAGCGCAGCTGGAAAGAAGAAAGGCAACAAGGGTAAGAAACAGACGCTGTTTCAATGGGGCTAGAGGGTTAGTTAGTGGCCAAAAGCGGGGGCCTTGGGCATGCGGGGACGCTCGGTACATGGATATTCGAGGGGACGCATAAGGGACGGTGCGCATACAAGTGCCGTAGTCATGGTAACATGGCAGAAAAGAAACTAGGAGGGAAAAGAAAAAGAAGTGGTGATGACGGCATAGAGTAGTATCTCGAGGACGATGTGTGGACGCTTGTGAGGAGCGGTGAAAGAGGCGGCGGGCGATGTGGAGCGAAGAGTATAAAGAAGAGTGTAGAGAGGCATGTGCTGATAAGTGTAGCTCGACATTCAAGACAATGCAGACTGAGGCGACCAAGGACTCGAGTTTGCAGGGAACAAGCACATGGGCCAGGCAACCCGGGATGACCCAATGGACGACGTTGGTTGCACGATTTTGTTTTCGCAGGGGCGCCTCTTTGAGCGTGAAAACCTGTTTTTTTTGTTTGCGCAATTGAAGTTTGTTTGAAAAATGCAGTAGGTGTTATGATAGCAAACAGTCGCAGTAGCAGGAGTAGTAGTGTGTGTGTGTCTGTGTGTGTGTGAAGTGGATGATTTGGGATTTAAGCTATTTTTTTTAGCGTGCTTCATGTGTTGACGACATTTGTAGACGGAGCCGAGTCATGGGTTTGCGGAGAAATACTTGTCGAGTACAGCGTGGTTGGGTGGATGGTTCCTAGTCGATGCTGGCACTTTGACGTGATTTGGAAGAGGGTTGAGGACAGCATGTGGTATGCAGCAAGGAGCTTTGGCTAGTAGGAGCAGATGCATAGGTGTGTATGTGATGGGCATACTTGGATGATGCAAGCACAGGCACAGGCACAGGCACAGGCACAAGGGCGTGGGTGTAGTGTACTTAGGCCAAGTATGGTGTGGGTGATGCGATAGGCCATGATTACCGACTACCTACATGCAAGCGAGGCGTCGAGGGAATCGGGACTGCAGGCCGGCGCGGGCAAGGCGATCGCCACATGTACTTGTTATCCCGCAGAGACCATGGGGCTAGTTGCAGCAATGGGCATTGGATTTGCGCAGCATCAGAGGCCTTGTCGTTGGTGGGTACGCCGCACCTGAACCATGGTTCATGTGGTGACGAGCATGGACATGAGTCATGTACTACGGACAAGTCAACGCTTGGTTGGAGCCGCTTGCTATAAAACAAAACCCCCGGAGCGGTGTCGCCCTTTTGCTCCCTCAAATCTGCCAAACCAGCCATCCAGCCAGCCATCCATTGATCCAAAGACCCGGACCTGACCATCCTCGGCATCGCCAGTGCAGTGCAGTGCAGTGCAGTGCAATCGTCGTCGTCGTTATCGTCGTTGTTTGAACCGCCCCCGCCCGCTTGCTTTCAGAGCGCGCGACACCAGCAGCTACCATGGCCGCCAGCATGGCTCACTATCAAGGCCACCTCAGCAACCGCATCACGACCGGACGCGCCGAGACGGTTGGCCAGGCACAGTACCCGCCGCGGCGAGCAGAGCGCAAGTACAAGCTCGAGGTCGAGCAGCAACCCATCCGAGCGCGCATGTGTGGCTTTGGCGACAAGGACCGGCGGCCCATTACGCCTCCGCCGTGCATCCGGCTCGTGGTACTGGACGAGATGGATCGCGAGCTCGACTTCAACGAGATCGATAGCACCTACTTTGTCCTCATGGTGGACCTGTGGAACGAGTCGGGCCAGTCGGCCGTCAACCTGGTGCGCCATAGCAGCGCCGCGCCCACCGTGTCCATCAGCAGCAGCACAACGACGTCGTACCCGCCACCGCCCGAGCGCAGCCACTACGTCGCCACGACGATTCCGGGCTACGATGCACATTCGCAGGCCTACCGCCACCAGCACCAGCACCAACAGCACCAGCACCAGCACATGCAGCCCCAGCCCATGGCCCCGGCGGGCTACGGCCCCGGCGCCCACACGGGCGTGTCGGTGCCGGTCCCGCCCTACTATCCGCCCACCGCCCAGCCTCCCACGCCAACCTACCAGCAGTACCCCGCCCCCGCCCCC